CCTGCGGACTAAAGGGTCCCAGGTTCTATTCCGGCCAAGGGCACATGCCCTGATTGCAGGCTAGGTCACTCCCAGTAGGGGAGGTGCAGGAGGCAGCCAATCAATGGTTCTCATCTTTGATGTTTCTATCTCTCTATCTCTCTCCCTTCCTCTCTGAGCATCAATTATATATATATATATATATATATATATATATATATATATATATATATATATATATATATAAAATTATTGAAGGAAGGAGGCGAGGGGGTCTATGTTGGGAAGGATCAGAACTGCATGGAGGAAGGGAGTAGGGGCAGCTGGCATCTTTCTTGCAAACATCCCTGGATGGAAGCAGAGACTCCCTCCTCCCCCCAGAAAAGAGAACTGCTGGAGGGGACGTGTCAGCGGGCCCAGGGAGGGCGGGAGGGCCCAGAGCCAGGCTGGGTCCCTTTCCTTCTCTCCCCAGTCAGAAGCTGACACTGAGTACTCGGACCCCTTTGATGCCCAGCCTCACCCGCCACCCCCAGATGATGGCTACATGGAACCCTATGACGCCCAGCGGGTCGTGAGTGGTGAGTGAGCAGGGCTCGGGGCAGGAGGGCAGGGCCCCGGGCGGGAGTGGGATCTGACCAGTGTCCTCGGCCTCCCAGAGCTGCCGTGCAGGGCAGTGCAGCTGTACGACACTCCCTACGAGGAGCAGGCTGGGGAGCCAGGAGCCAGGCCTTTCCCAGGGCAAAGGCCCGGACAGAGCCGGCAGCCCCCGGAGGACGAAAGGCCAGCGGATGAGTACGACCAGCCGTGGGAGTGGAAGAAGGACCACATCTCCAAGGCGTTTGCAGGTGCTCCTCCAGCCCAGGGCTCCGAATGCCTGAGGCCCTCTGTTTGCCGCTCCGGTCACAGCCCCTGTCTCAGCTTACGAAGTAGACCCCAGTTAGCTGCCACTGTGGTGGTTTGTTAATTCTCACTAAAGTGTGAATGACTGATAGTCCTACATTTCTCTTCCCGGAAGAAACTATCTTCCTAGGAAACGGAAACGCCCTTTAGAGCGCAATAGGACCTGCTTACTCTGCTCAGTATAGTGAAGGGGAAGGCTTTGACCTGGGTTTGTGTCACTTCACTTGGGCAAATCATTTTACCTTCCTGAGTCAGTTTCCTTACCTGTAAAATGGGGATCATTGTGGTCTCTGCTGCATAGGGTGCTTGGAAGTTGAGTGCTACAAAGTGCTCAATAACACAGGAGTTGTTGGGGGGAGAGAGTAGCATTTCTTAGTAGCTGTCATCAGGTAGACTTGGGTGAGCTTGGCCCAGCCTCTGAATCTCAGTTTCCTCTTCCATAAAAGGAGGAACAATAAGGTCAGCTTTAAGAAATAAAATAACTTGAGCCAGGAAGACTCGTGAGAACACAACTTTGCCCCACATGTTGTATGACTGGGAGGGGGATTGGAGCTCAGTGCCTTAGTTTGCTTGTCTGTCTAGTGGGGAGTTGTTATCTAGTTTTGTGATTTGCTGGGAATGGGAAAGAACTTCCAACCCATCCTTTTAGCCACGCCCCTGCTCTCTGATTTGTCACTCATGAACTGCCCGCCCTCTATGCCACTTTGACCACACCCATTCTGAAAGTCAATTGGTTGTTCCCTTCCCAGTTCGGCCCCAGCCCCTCCTCTTCCCGATCCATTGGGCTGCTCCCTGGACTGAAACCTTGGCTCTCTCCCCCGCCCCCACTGCAGTGCAATTTGACAGTCCTGAGTGGGAAAGGACCCCAGGCTCGGCCAAGGAGCTCCGGAAGCCCCCACCCAGAAGCCCCCACCTGGCAGAGCGTGTGGACCCTGCCCTGCCCCTGGAGAAGCAGCCGTGAGTGGGGAAACGGAAGATGAAGTCCTGGGTTGCATCCCTCCTGCCCCCATACCAGCTATAGACTCCCCGGACTAGGGGAGCTGGCTCGTTCACTCACTCACTCATTTCATTCATTTCTTCAACGAATCCTCCCTGGGCGCCAGCACCTGCTGTGTGCCAGGCCATCTAGCCAGGTGCAAAGCGGAGTCAGATGGAGTCTCAGTTCCCTCTGGGATCAGACTCTGGGTTCAAGTCCCTCCTCTGTATCTCCTGGCTACAGGACTAGAGCCTGTCACTTACCGCACCTGAGCCCTGCGCTTAAACCCCCAGTGGTACCCGGCTCACAGGGTAAAGGGGACTTCCTCCCTCCGCCTGGGTGGGTCTGTAAGGCCGGGAACTAAGAGCCAGCCATCTCCTCCTGCCCAGGACATGCCTGGGATAAAACTGGGAAGAACAGGATTGGGAAGAGGCCCCGACTTTGGGCTAGGGTGAGGCTGGGAGGGTGAGGGTCTTCTCTGGGTCCCCCCCAGCCCAGGGGCCCTTGAGGAGCTCCCTACACCCCCAGCTAGGCCCTAGGCCTGTGGCCGTGTTTATCACAGTCATTCCCAGGCCTTGCCGGCGGGCGATACCCTCCTGGCTACTTAGCACTGAAGCACAAGGTAGAAAGTTTATTCTCTTTTCAGTTTTCTTTTAAAAAATATATATTTTATTGATTTTTTACAGAGAGGAAGAGAGAGGGATAGAGAGTTAGAAACATCAATGAGAGAAACATCGATCAGCCGCCTCCTGCACACCAAGGTACATGTCCTTGACCAGAATCGAACCCGGGACCTTTCAGTTCGCAGGCCGACGCTCTATCCACTGAGCCAAACCGGGTTTGGCCTCTTTTCAATTTTCTTTCAACACAAATAACCACGAAGTCCCTGATGCTAATCTGTCTTGGTCACCTTGCTTGCAACGGCTGCCTCTCTTGGGGCACGTTAAAGGGAGAGAGTGGTCCAGCTGGGTGGAGACGCGGGATGGAGCACATCTTGTGAGAGGGATAAGCAAGTGATTCAAGTTGGGGGACTAGGGCAGGGGCTGAGTTATCCAGCCCTGGGAGGCCGAGGCCAAGGTCAGGTGGAACCGTTAATTGGCAGCAGCAGCTCCACACGGGCCTGGGCTCCGCTGCCTCTGCCGAGAGGAGGGGGGGTCCCATTGGTACCGCCTTCCTACTGAAATCCCATTGGCTGGCCCCCACCCCGCTCCCCCCAGGTAGGCGGGACTGAAACCTTTGCTCTCTCCCTCTCCCCTCCGGAGAAACCCAAGGGAGTTTTCCTCTTAATTGCCTGGAGGCCCAAAGCCCTCGGACCAGCTGTGCCTGCACCAGACCCGAGTGTGTCTGAAGCGGGAGGGCCCTTCCTGAGACTCCTGCCCCCCTCACCCAGGTGGTTTCACGGCCCCCTGAGCCGGGCAGACGCCGAGAACCTCCTCTTGCTCTGCAAGGAAGGCAGCTACCTGGTGCGGCTCAGCGAGACCAGCCCCCAGGACTGCTCCCTGTCCCTCAGGTGAGGCCCAGCCCCCTGGAGGCCGCAGGACCGCCTGCGCCACGTTTCCGGGTCTGTTCAGGGGGAGCAGAGGGATGTGCCTCAGCTTTCAGGCCAGCGGATGGACTCCTGGGGGGGGGGGGGGAACCCCCTGTCCCGGGAGGTTTGCAGGAAGAGGGAGGGGAAGCCGAACAGTAGATCTAGGACTTGGGTGAGATGGAGAACCAGATGCCGGTTTTCTTTGGACTCCCCAGTCCAAAGGTTAAATAAAGTACACTCACTTGTGTCTGTCCCAGAGCTGGGATCTGAGCGGCCCTATAGTAAGGTGATCAGACGTCCCGCTTTTGGCGGGACAGTCCCGATTTTTAACTAATTGTCCCGCGCCCCGCAGCGTTTTAAAAAGGTCCCAAAACACTGCGGGACAAATTGTTAAAAATTGGGACGTCTGGTCACCTTTCCCTCTAGCCACGTGAGTTTGAGACCTTGGTCCTGCGTGCTTCTCTGCCTAAGCTTCTAGGCGTGTCTAAGACCCAACTAGGGACCTGAGTGTGACATCTAAAGGGCCAGGATTGCAGAGGCCTTTGGAGGCTGGTTCAGATCCTGCCTCTACCTCTTTCTAGCTGTGTGACCTTAGCCAATGTGCTCAACTTCTCTGGGCTGTGGTTTCCTCCTTTAGGAAAGGATAATACATCAATGCCATGGTAACACTGCAATGTTTAAATGGAAAAAAAAATTCATGAAAAAATGATGGGAATGGGAACAGGGCCCCGGAAACAGGCAGTAGCTGATTCACATGGATGATGTGGATAAAATGATTCCCAGGTTTACAACATTCCACCCACCGGAGACAGAGAAAGGAGAGACCCCAGCCGGGGGTGGGGTGGGGTGGGGGTGTTAACTAGTGGGGGTCAGGAGGTTTGGAGAGAAAGTCCAGCTCATGTTTCAGGGGAGGGCTGTCCCTGGGCAGGGCCTGTCTGTCCAGCATAGAAGGCACCCTGCTGTGTGGAGCACGCCAATGCCTTGGCACCAGCTGGCTGTTTCACAGGAATCTCTGGGGACACCAGTCCCCGGGTTCGAGGAGCAATGATGGGGTGGCTTCGGGGCTGGAGAGCAGGCCGGGGTCAGGGGTGCTCAAGGCCCCCGTGATGCTGTTTGCTCCCCAGAAGCAGCCAGGGCTTCCTGCACCTGAAGTTCGCGTGGACACGAGAGAACCAGTTGGTGCTGGGCCAGCACAGCGGCCCCTTCGCCAGCGTGCCCGAACTGGTGCTCCACTACAGCTCGCGCCCGCTGCCCGTGCAGGGCGCCGAGCACCTGGCCCTGCTGTACCCGGTGGGCACTCAGAGCCCTGCGCTGGAGCCCCCGCCCCCCGCCCTGCTCCCTGAGGCGGCTCCCGCCAGGCCCGGAGGAGGCGAGGGAAAGGCTCCCGCTGCTCCAGGCTCTCGGCGGGCTGCATCAGGCGCCCTCTCAGCCCCCTGCCGGGTCCTGGGGTCCGAGACTGTGTGAGAAAGTCCTCCTCCGATCCAGAAAATAAATAAGTTATTGTGTGTTTCCAGTGTCTTTTCTGGGAGGCCGGAGCCCAGCCCCTGGGAAGGATGAAAAAGATGGGCCCTTTAGGGAGCAGGGCGTCCCCACATCCTCGTTTTGCAGGAAGAGCTGCGACTGGAGCCTGAACGGCTCACAGGGAGGGACCAAAACTCAGAGTCAGTGGAGTCCAGCAGATAAAAAAGATCAAGAAACCCAGAGAGGGCTCTCAGGCCAGCCCCACCCCCACCCCCGCCCGCTTTCCCCTCCCCATTGGGGCGGGCAGCTGAGGCCTGGTGAGGCAGATGCTGCTGAAAGGACATCTGTCCCCATGGAAACGGCAGGAGTGGGGGAGGGGAGCTGGGCCCAGCTGGTGTGCCTTCAAGGTGACCTGGGCCGGAGACCCAGGAGGCTGACAGTGCCAGGGAGTCCCATCTCCCTCCTCACCCCCTCCTAGCCTGCCTGGGGTACCAGCTGGGCAGAGGGGCTTCCTGCTCCGGGCACATCGGAGGCTGGGGCATCGCTTGTCTGCTAATCAGGCATGTCCCGCCAAGGATGAGAGGGGAGTCATCACAGAGCCCCTTTGCCCTATGGACCTCCCAGCCACCCCGGGACCTCCAGGTGACTCCTGGAATCTTTTTGGCGCCTCCAATTTGCCACAAAATCTGGCTTTGCTTTCTTCATGAGCCTTTATTGGGTTTTCTGGGGGCAAGGCAGAGGTCCACGGTCAAAGGAATAAGGACAGGGGTCTCAGGAGGGGCTGCTGGGCTCCTGGGACCAGTCACATCCTGTGTAGCCACTGGGGGGTCTTCTTTGAGTCCCCGGGGTCTGGCTCCTCTTCCCACTTCAAGGAACCCCCTTGGCCTTGGCTGCCCAGAGAAGCCTGGGCCGGGAGAGAGTCTGCCTGTGGACGTGGGGTGACGGGCTGGGGCTGGGGCAAGGTTTGGGGGCCAGATGCCACCGAGTGTTGGGTATGGGGAAACGCGGTGGAATAGAGGGTACAGCCCGGTGGTCCTCCCTGGGATGTCCAGCTCCTCCCCCCGCCAGGCCTGGCCTCCGTCCCTTCGGGAGCCCCAGGGCCAGCAGAGGATGTTGCTGTAGAGCAGTGTTTCCCAGACTTTTGACATATGTGTACCCCTTCTATAATTTTTGTAACGCTGAGTACCCCTTGTACTCATGAGAACATAGAATTAGGTGCAGCAAAGCACAGTGCAGTGCATATCCCCACCAAACCCCGGTGCAAGCCGTACCCCCACCAAACTCTTCCCGTACCCCTGGCGGTACGCGTACCACACTTTGGGAAACACTGCAGTAGAGGAATGACAGACCAACAGAGGACAATCAGCCCAGCAGGTGGGAACCGCAGCCCTTCACAAGGAGGGACTGTCCCCCCATCTCCCACTCCTGGGAGGAGGGAGGGGGCTGAGGGCTGAGAAGAGGGAAGAGAGAGAAGAGGGAGAAGGCTGCCCTGCACATCCGTGCTTCTCAGAAGCAGAGACAAAGCACAGGGGCGGGAGGGGGGGGGCGGGGGGGGCGCAGAGGACAATCAGCCCAGCCGTGGTAACAGCTCACAGCTGGTGCCTCTGCCCACTGGTAACGGCCCCTCATCGCCGAGGGGAGGGCAGCCAGGACAGCCATGGGACGCTGCCCTGGAGTAGGCAGTGGGCATCTCTGTGGGGTGGGGGCTGGAGCCAGGGTGGTGCTGCCTCCTCTGATAGGGGCTGGCGTGCAGCGGAGGCCGGAGGCCATCAGAAGCCCCCGAGGGAGCAGGGCCTGTTTGCACCGGCCTGGGCCTCCCGCCCTGCTCTGGGGTCAGCCTCAGGCAGTGCCAGTGGAGCCGGGAGTGTGTGCACCAGGCTGGAGCGGAAGCCGCGGCGCTGGCTGGTGTGTCACTGGATATGACCGCACCCTCTGCGCCTCAGCTTTTCCATCTGCAAAACAACGCGGCTGCCCTAGCTGCTCTGGAGAGCTCCCTCCAGCTCTGGGTTCTAGAATTCTCTGGTTACTCTGAGACTGCACACACCTTGGAGTCTCTGCATTGGAAGTGTTTACCAGAGTGCAGTTCTGAGATTCTAGAACCACTCATTCCTTTATTTCAGGGTTTCTCAACCGTTTATTATTGTCACCCCCACCCCCAGGAGTCTTTTTAAAAAAATCTTAATCTCTCCCCCCAGGAAATTGTAATACCACAGGAATACTGTAAAACTATTTTTTTAAGTCTGCAGTGTCCATTTTGTTAGTTTTTGCTTTTTTATTGAATTTTTTTTGGGGGGAGTGGCATTGGTTAATGAAATTATATAGCTTTTCAGGCATATGATTCTATGATACACCCTCTGTATATTGTAGTGTGTTCACCACCCCTTATAAGCTATAGTTCTAAGAGCTGAGAATTTTATAGCCCTAGGATTCTAGAACGGCAAGATTCCATTTTGTGGTTGGCGATTCTAGAATTGTCCCAGGCGCAACTGTGTACAGATGCTCACGGAAGAATATGTTCTAGAGGAGCCACTGCAGCCTGGATCATGAGAGCCAAGACCCAGAGCTGCCCACATGCCCATCAGAAGAAATCGGGCTGAGAAATGGCAGCAGAGTCACATGTTGGAATATCTACCACATGCACCGACATGAGTGAGTCTTCTAGATATATGGAGCAAAAGAAATCAGATGCAAAAGAGAAGACACTCCATGATTTCATTTAAATAAAATAGAAAGCCAGAAAAATGGATCTATGCTGCTACAAATCAGGATAGTGTGGTGGTGATGGGGGTGGGGGGTAGCTGTGAAGGCCTTGAGTGTGGTATCTACTGGGCTGGAAAGTAGTTCCTTTTTAAATATATATATATTTTATTGATTTCAGAGAGGAAGGGAGAGGGAGAGAAAGAAACATAATGATAAGAGAGAATCATTGATTGGCTGCTTCCTGCACGCCCCCTAGTGGGGGTTGAGCCTACAACCCAGGCATGTGCCCTTGGCCAGAATTGAACCTGGGACCTTTCAGTTCACAGGCTGATGCTCTATCCATTGAGCCAAATCAGCTAGGGCAAGTAGTTCCTTTTTAAAGAGAGAAGAGTTCACTTTATTATTTTTAAATATATTTTTAATTTATTTCAGAGAGGAAGGGGGAGAGAGGGAGAGAGGAAGAGAGAAACATCAATAATGAGAGAGAATCATTGATTAACTGCCTCCTGCACGCCCTTCAGTGGGGTTTGAGCCTGCAACCCGGGCATATGTCCTTGACCAGAATTGAACCCAGGACCTTTCAGTCCACAGGTGTATGCTCTATCCACTGAGCCAAACCGGGTAGGCCTGGAATTGTTTTTAATAAAAACGCCAGGATTATATGTACTCACGATTCTTTATGATTGTGATATTCTAGAACTGGGTTCAGCAAACTACACAGCCTGCTGATCAAATTTGGCCCACTGCCTGTTTCTTAAAATAAAATTCTGTTTTTATTTTTTATTTTATACTTTAAAATATTTAAGTGCTTACAGATGTTTTCACACATATAAACAACAATCAATCTAAACATAGAATGTTTCAATCTCTGCAGAAACTTCCCTGTACATACCACCCCCATAGATGATCACTGTTGTTTTTTTAAAAAAATATATTTTATTGATATTTTACAGAGAGGAGGAAGGGAGAGAGATAGAGAGCTAGAAATGTTGATGAGAGAGAAACATCGACCAGCTGCCTCTTGCACACCCCCTACTGGGGATGTGCCCGCAACCAATGTACATGCCCTTGACGGGAATCGAATGCGGGACCTTTCAGTCCACAGACTGACGCTCTACCAATGAGCCAAACCGGTTTCAGCTGATCACTGTTTTGATTTATATCATTTAAAGTTCTTTTTCAAAATATGTTTTTATTGCCGAGTCCGGTTTGGCTCAATGGATAGAGCGTCGGCTTGGGGACTGAAAGATCCCAGGTTCGATTCCGGTCAAGGACATGTACCTTGGTTGCGGGCATATCCCCAGTAGGGGGTGTGCAAGAGGCAGCTGATCCATGACTCCCTCTCATCGATGTTTCTAACTCTCTATCTCTCTCCCTTCCTTTCTGTACAAAATCAATAAAATATATATTTTTAAAAAACTCCTTAAAAAAATGTTTTTATTGATTTGAGAGAGAGAGGAAGGAAGAAGGGGGAGAGAAAAAACATTGATTAGCTGCCTCTTGCACAGCCCCCACTGGGGATTGAGCCCACAACCCCGTCAGGTGACCATTAGCCTACTATCCTCTACACCAGTGTTTCCCAAACTTCGCTCATGATGGGAATCACCGGGTGGAGTTGTTAAACTAAGGCAGAGCACTAAGTTAAGTATACAATTTTACCTATATGTTCCCGAAAATTCTAGTTTAGCACTTCTTAGTTGGGACTCAGGAATCTGTGGTTTAACAACTCCACCCGGTGATTCTCATCATGAGAGAAGTGTGGGAAACACTGCTCTCCAGCAGTGGTTCTCAACCTTTTTAATGCTGCGACCCTTAATAAAGTTTCTCATGTTGTGGTGACGTAGGCGACCCTGCTGTAGACCCCAAGACCATCGGAAAACACAGTTATTTACATTATGATTCATAACAGTAGCAAACTTACAGTTATGAAGTAGCAATGAAAACAATTTTATGGTTGGGGGTCACCACAACATGAGGAGCTGTATTAAAGGGCTGCAGCATTAGGAAGGTTGAGAACCAGTGCACAAAGGCAGAGCGACTAGCTGCAACAGAGGTCACCTGTTCGCAAACAGAAAACATGTACTCTAGTGCCCTTTGCAGAAAAAGTGCGCCAGAGCTTGGTCTAGAGTTGTAAGTTGCAGCATGCCTTTGGCTCTGTGATTGATGGTTTGATGTTCTTGAGTTTGCAGGATTTCTGTTCCTAAAAATCTGATTTGAATTTTGAGCTGATGTTTCTAGCTGTTTGAAATTCCGGTCTTAAGATTCTAGAAGTCCCAAGCCCCTGCCTCTTCTCCCCACTTGCTCTCACACCTGTGCCCCGGAGCCGCATTGCCCTTGGCCTCTACCAATTCAGGAGTCTCCATGGCTGCTCAGCACAAGCAGTTCCCACTGTGGTTGATACTCGCGGTCCAGCTGCAAAGTGAGGTTGCCAGGTGGTCTCCGGAAGAGCCATCCCTGAGGCCCACAGACTCCAGGCGCAGGTTGCTGCTGGCGATGTCCGGTGGGCACAAGGTAGCACTGTCCTTGGTCCACCGACAAGGAGCTGCTCCAGGCCTGAGACTGTGCCACCTGACAGGTCAAGGTCACTTGGCTGTCCTGCCTTCCCTGCGGCAACTTAGGTCCCTATTGCACACTCAGACCTGTGGCTCCTTGCAGGGCCGGGAGGCAGAAGAGGGGAGTGAGGCCTTTCTCAGTGTGTGTGTGTGTGTGTACACGTGTGGTCTTACTCCCAGAGCCAGCTCACTGCGGTGAGGCAGTGAGCGGTTAAAACCTTGCTGTCTGTAGGATCTTTTGCAAGCTCACTTCTTCTTGCTGAGTTGCAGTGGCCTCACCTGTGAAATGAGTATAACTCTCTCAGCACTTGTGAAATTTCAGGGTGGACTTTATGGCATGCCCAGCTCTCACACACACAAACGTTGCTTTGTATGTGCCTGTTCTGGACACCATGGACACAGACACAGAGGTGACCGCTTCAGACACAAATCCCTGCCCCCAGGCAGCTGATGGCCCAGGGCAGAGAGAGACACAGAAAGTGGTGAAATAAGAATAATAATAGCTGAAACCGGTTGGGCTCAGTGGATAGAGTGTTGGCCTGCGAACTAAATGGTCCCAGGTTCGATTCTGGTCAAGGGCATGTACCTTGGTTGTGGGCACATCCCCAGTGGAGGGTGTGCAAGAGGCAGCTGATCGATGTTTCTCTCTCATCAATGTTTCTGGCTCTCTCTCTCCCTTCATCTATGTTAAAAAATCAATAAAATAAAATTTAAATAAAAAGAATAATAATGGAGGAAAGGAAGAGGGAGTGGCAGTAGGGAATAAGGATGAGGTGAGAACCTACTGATTGAGGGTGGTCAGGGAGGGCCTCTCAGGGGTCTGAATGGTAAAAAGGGAGAAGAGGACGGCTGAGTAGAAAAGCTTGCTTTTGGCACCTGTTCGATCCCCCAGAGGGGTGAGTTTACACTAAGCTCCCAGCATTTGAGACACAATTGCAGCTGAGGATAGAGAGATGAAATCCAGGGAAGAGTGTTGCAGGCAGAGGGAACAGCAAGTGCAAAAGTCCCAGAGGTGGGATCAAGCGTGGTGTGCTAGAAAAAAAGAGAAAGACAAGCCAGGAGGCCAAGGGGGAGGGCGGGAAGGCAGAGGGTGGGATGCGGTGATGAGAGCGGCTAGTGAGGCCAGGTCACCCAAGCCTGGTATGTAGGTCATAGTTTAAATTGTATCCTAAGGGCCCCCTCCGAGGGCCCTTGCTAGAACCTCAGCTCTCCTAAGGTTCTGAGTATCAGAGAGAGACGGGCCTTCTTGGGCAGAGCAGAGAGACTAAGGTTTAGAGGAGCTTTGAGTGGAAGGGGTAGGCAGCTGGAGTGGAGGACAGCAGAAGGGGGTGCAGAGGGGAGAGAGGCCCCAGTACTCACCCCAGAACTGCACCAGGAGGACCAGGGCTGGGCCCATGGACCCCCTTCCTGGCCCATCAGGCCTTCCTCTCCTGGCTGGCACCCGCCACCACCTCTACCCCTCTCATTGGACTGACTTCCTGCCACAATCTCTGCCCCAGACACAGAGGCAGGTGTGACACCTGGGCAGGCAGCAGGTGTCTGGGGAACAGTGCTGCATGGGGCTCCACTTCCAGCCACATTTTGCCTCAGTTTCCCAAAGCTTTCTAAATTTTATTTGAAAGGCATGTGCATATGTGAGTAGGAATGTGTCCCACTGAGTGGAGATCTTTCTGGAAGACTATATACAAACACACCCGGCCTGAAGGAGGGGGAAGGGCATTGGAAGGGCAGGTGATGCGCAGTGGGGAGTAGGGAGGGGATGGGGGCAGTGGAGGCGGAATAGCAGAATCCAGATCTCGAGGGAAAGAAGGCTTTGGAAGGCTGAAAATCCGCTGGGCAAAGGCCTTGGCTTTTCAGCAAATGCAAGGTTGTGAGTCATCAGGGGCCAGTCCTCGGTAGAATTCCTGTGTGAGCAGCAGTGTGGGTGGTCCAGTGGGGAGACTGAGGCACCAGGAGGACTAGGATGGGTTCTAGGTCACAGGGCAAGGCTTGGGGTCGAACCCAGACATCCTATCTCCCAGCTGCAGGCTCCCTTCAGCTCAGCCATCACTGCCAATTACCAATGTCACCACCGTGTGCGTCCCGGGTTCTGGGGCTGGGGGCTTGCAGGTTGGTGGGTGAGGGATCAGGGGTGTCCCTTCTCGCGGAGACCCCGGCGCGGGACTACATTTCCCAGCCTGCCGCACCGGGTGGGGGTCGCGCCTGCGCGCTGGGGCCAGTGATGGAGCGCTGACCGGGGGCGCGGCGGCGGCGAGGGCTCGGCGGGCCATTGGCTCCGGCGGCGGCAGAGCCCGCTTAGGGACGAAAGCGAGCGGGCCCGCGGGCCGGGCCGGCCGAGCCGGGCTGCAGCCATGGAGGACCAGAGGGTAAGACCAGGCGGGGCGGGAGGGACCGCCTCGGGGTACCCAGAGCGAGGGACCGGAGGATGCCGCAGCGCCCTCCCGCCCCCGCAGCCGCTCTGCTGTGCAGACTCCGCCCCTGCCGCAGCCTGGCCCGGCCCAGCCCCTCCATCGGGGACGTAGCCCCCACATTTGCCCAGACTCCCCCTAATCCTAGCCTGGGATCAGACGCATCCCCTCCACCCCCATCCACACCCCCCCTCCGCCCAGTATCCCGGGCGCAGCCTTGACCCCCATCCCCCACGCCTTCCCTCCGGACTGCGGGCCAGGTGTCCCCGCCCCGCCCCGCCCCGCCCGCTCCGCACAGGTGACTCCACCGACCCTGCGCCCCAGGACACAGACCCGCCGAGACCTGGGTCCGAGCGACAGGCTCCAGCAAGACCCTCCCATGCGCCTTCCCTCCCAGCATTCCCTCCTCCAGACCATCGCCCCGCCCCACTTACCTGGGCTCTCTGGCACCCGCTCTCCTCAGCCTCCTCCTTTCTCCTTGCCAATCCCTTTCCCAAGGCTTTCCCCTCCCCCATTGGCTGCAGGCATCACTTTCCTTTGGGGTTTTCTTTTCCCGAGCTAGACCCTCACCTTAGCATGCCCCGCCCTCAGAATGTAGGTTTGAGGGCTTTGTGGTCCCGCCCAGTTTGTTCCCAGAGTTGAGAGGCTCACTCTGGGCCTCAGTCTCCTCTCCTGTGAAATGGGTGTCTTCATGGTGTCCACCTGCTGGGTGAGGGAAGGTAGGACCCAGGGCCCCAGCCAGGGCCTGCCTCCTGCTGAGGGCATTGGCACCATGGTCCCTCATCTCCCTGCGTCACTGGAGGTTGGAGGGATGAGCTCCAGGTGAGGGAGCTGGGCCAGGCGGAGGGGCTGACTGGCCGTGTGTGTGTGTGTGTGTGTGTGTGTGTGTGTGTGTGTACACGCTTCCCGTGGGGGCAGGAGGCTCTGCGGAAGATCATCACCACGCTGGCCGTGAAGAACGAAGAGATCCAGAGTTTTATCTACTCCCTCAAGCAGATGCTGCTGAACATGGAGGTGAGGGCAGGTGATGGGAGGGAGGGGGCAGCCCTAGGAGCTAGACTCTCAATTCCAATAACTACAGGCTGTTGTTGTTCCTTGTGATTAAGCCCCTATCCCAGGGGTCAGCAAACTCATTAGTCAACAGGGCGGCGAACCGAGGTTCGAGAGCCGCAGTTTGCCCACCACTGAGCTAGCCTGTGGCTGCTGATAACTGTGGCACTGGGGGCCCGGCTGCCATGTCCAGGCCTCAGTTTCCCCATCTGAGCGTGGGCTTTGGCCAGTCCTGGCTGTTCAGAGCTGCACCGTCTCTCCCAGGCGAACTCGGCCAAGGTGCAGGAGGACCTGGAGGCGGAGTTCCAGTCCCTCTTCTCCCTCCTGGAGGAGCTGAAGGAGGGGATGCTCATGAAGATAAAGCAGGACCGTGCCAGCCGCACCTACGAGCTGCAGGTGTGTGTCTCGGGGCTCCCTGGGACCCCTGCCCCGGTGCCATCTCCACGGCACCCCTCAGGTTAACAGATCTCAGCTGTCCTCGTGCCTTTTCCCAAACCTGCTCCTTTCCCTGAGTCCCTTCTCAGAGGTGCTCCGTGTTCCCAGTGTCCGGAGCCAGACACCCTGCTGGTGCTGGCCTCGCCGCCTCTTTCCCTGGTGTTTGCCTGTCCCCTCCTTGGCCATGACCTGTCAATCCCCACCCACCTGTTCTCCCTCTTAATCCCACCCACGCCACCCGCTTCTCTCCATCGCCACAGCCACATCCCCACAGCTGGCTGTTCTCCCTCCCGTTCTCCCCCAGTGACTCCAGCTTCTCAGCCCTCCCCACTGGTCCCCCCAGATCTGATGGCCAGACACCCCCATGGCTCCTGCGGGGTTGGTGGGGCTGTATTGAAATCTCCTGGCAACTTCCTAAACCCCACACGCCCATCCCCGGGGATGCTGGGCCCTGGGCTCAGGTGTGGCCTGGGCATGGGAGTGCGTGAGGAGGGATCCCCACGTGGTTCTAATATTCTTCAAGGAGCAACACCCAGCCTTTCCCCAGCTCCCTCTCCCACTGCAGTGGGAAGGGTGTGGTGCCCTGACCCCAAAGGCAGTGGGAGGCCTGGGAGGCGTGATGCACCGGGTGAGAGGCTTCCTCCCTCAATGCCCTGCCACCCGCAGAACCAGCTGGCCGCCTGCACGCGGGCCCTGGAGAGCTCCGAGGAGCTTCTGGAGACCGCCAACCAGACGCTGCAGGCCACCGACCGTGCAGACTTCCCGCAGGTGGGGCTCAGCGGCCGTGCTGGTAGGGCTGCTACTCAATACAGGACACCCCGTTACATTTGCATTTCACATCCACCACGAGTACCTTTTTAGTGAAGTGTGGCCCATGCAATATTTAGTATAAGTATGTTCTGTGTGATCAATATATGTATTGGCCTCAGCCAGGTGGTGTGGTTGAAGCATCATTCCAATGACCCAAGGTTGCAGATCCCTGCTCAGGGCACGAGCAAGAATTAACCAGTGTATGAATGAATTGGTCGAACAACAAATTCTCTCTCTCTCTGAAAATCAAGAAATAAAAGTTTTAAAAATAAGTAAATAATTATTACTTGTAGTTAATCTGAAGTTCATATTTAAGAAAGAATAATTTTTTTTAGTATAAGTATATCCCTTGCAAATGCTTACATAAGTATTTCTCAAATGTTGCATGGGACATATTTATATTAAAATAATAATTATTTATTTGAAATTTAAATTTAACAGTGAGTAACTTTTTAGTATACTCTATCCCATGCACTATTCAGTACAGCAGGCCCTTGAATAACACTGTTCTATTCAAAGTTGTTCTGTTATAACATGGATGTGGGAACACATTCTGGTTGAGGCCGCTGTGTGTGGCGTGTGCGTTCTCTCCATGTCTGCGTGGGTTTTCTCCAGGGACTCCAGTTCCCTCCCACCTCCCAAAGCTGTGCACGTGGGGGGACTGGCGTGGCCACACGATCCCAGCCTGGATCGGTCTGGGTGGGTGTCAGTGCGCCTGTGATGGAAAGGTGCTTGTCCAGGTGGGCTCCTACCTTGTGCCTGAGCTGCTGGGAGAGGCTCCGGCCACCTGCAACCCTGAACTGGAAGCAGGAGGTTGGAAACGGCTCAGTTATTTCCATGTTTAATAGTACAAGTGTTTGGGGTCTTTATTTAGAAGTTTGGTGATGCTCTTGTGACCAGAAATAGGCTATAGGAAACTAATTCTGGTTTTCCTCAATTAGCCTACCATAAAGCTGATTTTGTCACTCATCATTTCACTTAAAGTTGCAGTTTCTAAGAGCCTATTGACACCCTAGCTGGTTTGGCTCAGAGTGCTGGCCTGTGGATGGAAAAGTCCCACGTTCGATGCCGGTCAAGGGCACATGCCTGGGTTGTAGGCTCGGTCCAATGTGCGGGAGGCAGCCAATCAATGATTCCCTCTCATCATTGATGTTTCTACCTCTTTCTTCCTCTCTGAAATTAAAAAAAAAGAAAAGAAATAGATATATTTATATATGAACCTATTGATGTATTGATGTGTGTTGTAAATATAGATTAGGACATAACCTATACTAAAAAAAAAAGCATTGTTGATCTCAAATGCAAATTAACTGGCTGTCCTGTATTTTTGATTTGCTCACTCTGCCAGTTGTGTGTTCTGGGCCCTGGGCGGGGGTGGGGGAGGGCTGGAGCCTGTCTTTGCCCTTCTGTCCTTTCAGGGCGCAGCCAAGGGCTTCTGCCCCGGTGCTGGGGGACTCCGGCAAATGGCTGCCACGCTGGACCTCAGTCTTCCTGTCTGTGCAGTGGCTTTCTAATTCAGTCTAGACACTCTGAATTTTATTCTGTCCCTCTTTCTAGGCTGCCAAGCAACTCAAAGATGGGTAAGATACTGGATCTGGCCCCCACCCCAGTGCCCCGCCCCTGGCATGACGGTGGGGGCACCCAGGTGAGGGTTCCTTGGCCCAGAGCACTGGACCAAAACCAGGGGGAGGGA